TTACATGCCAATAATACCAGCACTCAGGAGACTGAGGCAGCAGGACTGCCATGAGCCTAAACTATATAATGAGACCTTGCTTCACAAAACTTAAACATACATACCAAGATTTACCTTCACTTCATCCTAGTTTAATCCATTGTAATCTAATTACAAGTCCTGGTCCTGAATTCCAGTTTTTGCTATTCACTAGTTATGTGACTTTAGACCAATTATTTGGTATCTCTGAGACTACCAAATGGGAATGACTAATAATTCTTACAGGATAATTATGAAGATTCAAGTAATTATCTATAAAGAGTTCACATCTGGCTTAGTAGCTCCCACACAGAAAACAATAAAAATATAGAAAAATTATATAGAATAAGCTAGGATTTTATATAAAATACAGCTTGCTTTAGAGAACAGAAAAACTACTAAGCAAATGGAGTTAGACTACTTTTATGCAATTGTGAGGACATAAAACACTTTATTATGACAAAATTTAGCAAACTTGCTTAACAGAACCCCCCCCCCCCACAGTCTCACTATGCAGTGCAAGCTGGCCTTCAACAAACAATGCTGCCAAGGCAAGCCTCAAACTTGCAGCAATCCTCCTGCCTCAGCCTCCCAATTGCTGGAATCATAGGCTTGTGCCACCATACCTGGCTTCAATTTTTAGTATAAGCGAACTATCCTTTGTTTGAAATAAATTTATTCTTAGAATACCCATGTACTACAACCATCTCATTATAATTAAAAATAAGTGAAGACATCTGTATTACAAAAGCACTTTCAAATTAACTGGTCAGCATGCATTTTCCCATTAAACAATACTGCTATAATAATGAGGCTCCAAAAGACTCAGAAGTTCATTTAACTGGCAGATCTGGTTGAACCATAAGATTTATTTGCCAAGTTGGCTTCTAAACCAGAATATTTACTTTCTTGTATGTCCCTTTCCTGCATGTAAACTATGTGCTTTTAGAGATCAGCAGCTGTAAGAAAACACTATGCTACAAAGATAGGTGGTTTATTAATTCCTGAAACCTGTAATTTTGTTTCATATTTCTGACATAAAAGTTCCAAATGTTCAATATGTCTGAAGAATTTCATTTTTCAAAATCAGCCCAGATGTTATTAGACTCTTATACCTGTATATTTCCAAAAAAGCAATATAGCATTTGGTAGTTGGGCTTGCAGTACATGGACTAGGAATCACAAGGCCTGAACTAAAAAGAAATCCCACCTCATTCACTGACTAGTATATCACTATGGGGAGACATTTAATCCCCAGAACTTGAGTTTTATCACATTTCTCTAAAATGTGAATGGTAATCATGCTACCTTGTTCAAAGGACCATTGCAAATATTAAAGAAATACATAACAGAATTATAACAGTGCTGTGTCTAGCAATGAGCAATAACTGAAGCTATTATACTATTTTCACAATATATTACAGTTTATTTATATATCTATTTTCACTATAGATTTTGAGGCCCTTGAGAGTTTCTTCAATCTTTATTTTTTAGTTCTAGATCCAGGGCCTAATATATAGCAGGCACTCTGATGATAGGCAGAAAAACAGTTGAATTTCAGACCCAGTTCTTTTCTATAGGAACAAGAGTGAAAAATAAGATTTAACCTCCCCCTTGCTACGTCTACGAAAGCAAGAATTGACAATGGCTTCTGTGAGGGTTTTATTTTCTTTTGTTTTGTTTTGTACCTGGGATCAAACTTATGACTTTGCACTTGCTAGGCAGGTGCTTACGCTGCTGAGCTAAATCCCCAGTCCTCGGTGAGGGTTTTGACAAGGTACAACAGGCTCCAAATTTTAAAATTTCCACAGGAAGTAGGCAGATTTAGAAGGAAAGCTAGTCAGGTAGTGAGAAATCACAGGGTTCAAATAAGAAGGCACTAGGATGGATCACAGTAAACAGCAAGAAGTAAAGCTAAATCTCTATTTCCAATGTCAACAGGGAGAAACAGAGTTCTTGTGGCTAGGTCAACTGCATGATTCACTTATAGAATGTATGCAAATTTATGTCAGGGAGGAGCAACAGTTAAAGATTGTGTATTATTAACTGCCATTCCTAAGATTTAGACACAGATCACAGTTTTTCTGTTCTAAAAGAAGAGGGCAATCTAGATTTGATCTTGGCCCAACTATTTACTGCTTGTATAATGGTTGGAAAGAGCTCGGGTGAATGCCATTTGTAAATCTCAGTTTCCATATCTATGCATATCTCAGGGTCAGTAATAACATGAAGTGTCTGACAGCTTAACCTTTAGTACTTCACACAGCTGACTATGCTAACGCTGTCAAGTTGTTAAAATAGGCAACACTGTTGTATCTTTAGAAAGATGAATCTGATGAATTCTCTCAATAATTTCCTTAAATATTTAGTGAGTATAAAAAACAGCTAACCAAATGACTATTAACAGTCACATGTTCAAATACAATACTGTATTAATATTTCAATGTAAACTTTCCTCTCGAAAGCTAAAGATTCCAGCTGCATATGATGGTGGAAACCTGTAATCCCAGCACTCTGGAGGCTAAGGCAGGAGGATTGCTTTGAGTTCAAGACCAGCCTGGGTTACAAAGTGAACTCAAGGCCAGCCTGAACTACATAGTGAGACTCTGTCTCAAAAAGACAGAAGGCCAAAGATTTTGCCAGATTCTAAATATATACAAATGCTAAACTGAGATTAGATGGATTTTGATTGTTTTTTTAAAAATTGTAACGTTTTTATCAAAATATGAAAGTAATGGAACAAAAAGGTGACACTATAGTTAGCCCCATTAAAAAGGCTGATCTGACAATGTAGTAGTAATTATAACAGTAGTAACTTTACTACAACCAGAATCTTGGTTTGAAAACTTTTCACTTATTTACTTTCTCTTTAGTGATAAAACTTTAAAACAGGTGAATGCTCAGAAAGCTTAAGGATGAGGAACTCCCAACTAAATATCCATAATAGTTTTATAGTACTTTGTAAATTCAAACTCTTCTAACTTTAAAGATTCACCATAATGATTCTATCTAGTCTACTCTTACTTCCTGCTACTCTTACATTAACCTTTCAGTAAAATCTAGCCCGCTTTAAATTCTTAACCCTGTATTTTTACTCACTTTTGACCCCTCGTGTGTGGTATAAAGGTAATATTCTTCTGAGTTCTCTCCCATGACTTCTGACTGGGGCCTACTTAAATCCAGGACTTTGACTACTCTTACCTGCAAAATTACTACCTTATCACAAACTGTTTTAGTCTTTAATTTGTATGATCTAGCTCTTCCACAATAGCAAATTTTACCCTGTTCATTAGTTTTCACTTATGTATCAGGTAACAACCTACTATTGCAAGTCCCACACTAAAAAAAATTCCAAGTTAAACATGTGGTTTTTTTTGAGATAAGGTTTCATTATGTAGCATAGGCTGGCCTTGAACTTGCAGCAATCTTCCTGCTTTAGCCTCTGAGTGCTGGACGTATAGGCATGCACTGCCACTGTTGCCCATGTGAATTATTTTATGCAAATTTTTTGAGGGGGCGCCTTTTATGAGACAGGGTCTCGCTATGCAGTTCAGGCTGGCCTTGAGCTCACTTTGTAGCCCAGGCTGGTTTCGAACTCTCAATGATCCTCCCACTTCAGCCTCCGGAGTGCTGGGATTACAGGCGTGAGCCACTATGCCTGGCATTTTATGCAAATTTTAAAAGAGGAAAATATTTTTAGTAAAGACATATAGCAGATACAACTAGTATCTGCTGACTTAGTTTTTACTTAGCTAAAAAAATAAAGTCAATCTAGATATAATTTTCTTAGCCTCTTGACTGCTAAAATTAAAGGTATATGCCACCATGCCTGGCTGAGAACAACTTCTGAACACAAGAATGATTAATAGAGTTTTCAAAAGGATAAGGATTTCCAGAAAATGCTTATTTGTATCTCGTTCTTTTACACATTTAGGTAAAAACTTTATAAAAATGCACATAAAATAGGTAAGGATTATATATGAGATTCTGAACTGCTCAAATTTATCATGGCTAAAGATTAACCCTACATAAATGACTCCTAATATTTCAAAACAAACTGAACTAGATCTTAAGATATATTTTTATGTTTTGTTTCTTAAGTTAAATTTACTCTTAGATTGAGTTACCTCTAGGAGGTATTGCCCAAAAACACTCAGACTTCAACTGAAGGGTGTAATACCAGGAAAAGGTAGTGTCTAAACTTTTTCCTTTGAGGTTTTGAGTTCATTTATTGACCAAAATGAATTTCTTTTCTTTTTTAAATAAATCAAGTTTCTACTACTCCTTCATACATCATTACTGTAAATGAACATTATTTTACAAAGATTCAAAATAAGAAACATTACATTCATGCTGTCAGAAAATTTAGTAGAAAATAATAAAGAAATCGACCAAGAGCCGTATTATAAAAGTATCCACCCTAGTCAAAACTCATTCATATAATACTTAGTAAAATTCTGAAAATTTCATGGGTTGAATCGTATAGCTTCTAGGTAATGCCAGTTTAAAAAGCATTCAAATACTAAGAAATCTGTTAACTGATATTAGGCAAGTATCCTTTTTTGCAATTACAGTACTACCACCATGAGAGGGAAAAGAGGGCAAGAGAAAAAGACTTCCCTCTGTATACAAAGTAAGTACCACAAATCTATTCTACAGATATAAGACAAAATTTGGTTTAACTAAAGTAAATACCTAGACAACCTATCCAGAATTTTCAGACCATAATAGAGAATAAAATATTTTCCATGAAAAGATTAATTTATCATTTTAGGTCATGATTCAGGCTTAAGGAAATGAATCCTTTATATTAGAACAGAAGGATCCTTGCTAAAAAGACAATATTCTAAAATGTTATATTAGTTCAGAATTTACAGATAAAATTTAGCATGAAACACTCAGCTTTACGACCCATAATAAAGTGCTGTTAAATACAGAGGAAGGAAGAAAGAAATATGTGAAGATCAAAACTTATCACTTACCTCATGATTCAGCTCTGCTATCTGATCTTTCAGTTCCCTAATGTACTGGTTAGAATCAGACTTGCTAAGCTGTCCTTGAAGTTTTCCTTCTTCTTTCTGTTTATTATAATAAAACAAAGCAAAACAAGAAACAGTTTTCACCACATATACTCAAGTGTTTCAAGATACAAGGCAGCATAAACACGTACCTTTTAATTAGCTGAATATGATCAAACCCATTCATAAAACTATCTTTGAAAATAACAGTGGATTAAAGTGAGTATTTCTGAGTAATCCTTAATGGAAGTTGTTTACAACTCATACAGTTTACAAAATGTACCTTTTGAGAATCTTAAGAAATCATTTATAAAACAAGTCTTCTGATGAAAAATTACTCTAGAATTTCAAAGCCATTTATCTAGTTGTTTTGTGGGCAGATGTTTCTCTATCCAAACCATAATGAGACTCCTGAAAATGTATTGGGGAATTGCTTTGGCATGAAAGGGACAAAAGGAGAAAAGAAAAAAATCTCTAAATCACTTTAAAAGAGAACAGTTCTGAGTCTCCTTGTGTAATTAGCTCAGAAACGTGTACTGGCAATCTAGATATTGATTAAAAGACAATCCTAATACTAAGAATTACTTTTCAAAGAGTAGTGAAACCATTTTCTAAGGATATAGATTACAAAGAGAATTTTTATGCCACCTGAAAACTGTGAATTTTTTAGAAAACAGACACTTTCAGAGTGAAACCAGAATTGTTTGTGATATCTCTAACATTATAATTCTGAAGGTATGTATTGATATTTAAAAAATGTTGCCCTGGGAATTTAGCTTACTGGCACAAGTGCCTCCCTGACAAGTGTGAGGTCATGAGTTTGATACCTGGAACCAAAAAATAAAAAATAAATTAAATTAAATTAAAAATTAAAAATGCTTAGAAACTCTAATCTGGAGACATTCACTGAAATTACAAAATAACCCCAGATACCAGAAGAGAATGGACTTACTTTTATAGCTGCCAACTTCAATTTCTTTCCAACCACTGTAAATAAAGTTTTCTTGTGTAGTCTCCCCATGAAGGTTTACACACATATAATCAAATACATGAGTATACAGATACTTGTTCTTCCCCATAAAACAGACTATAAATGCACTGTGCAGTATCTCTTAATAATGAAGATTATTTAATATTAGACTTTAGAATTTTAGTGTTAAGGCGTGTGTATATTATATAGTCTGCCAAAAATGTATAAACATTTCAGCAGTTCACTATACTTACAAATGCCTAGAAGCTACTGGCCACCACTTTGAGTATCTCTTGTAACTGCAGAGGCCAAAGCTAACTTCTATTAATCTCATAATGCCTCAATAAGCTTAGTATTGCCAGGCTGAGCTCAAACTTGGGGTTTTCCTGCCTCCGCCTGATAGAGTGCTGGAATTATAGGTACGTGCCACCACACCAGCTTAGGCATTTTGAAAAGAGGTTTTAAAATGTGTCTGAGGTCTTGTATCATTGCCTTGAAATCAGTATGTTGTAATGAAGAATGGTTTCCAATGCAGAGATTCTTCTTACAACCTTTTAAGATCACAGTAAGAAGGGGTCTTGGACATCTTCTGGCTTATACTTCTGACTGCAGCCAAGCTCACTTGCCACTTTCTTCCTACATACTTTCTCCTAACATCCTTGGCAGGAAGAAGTGGAACTGTTCCAGCAACAAGAATAGATAGCTATCCTGTAGAGTCAGAGTACCCATCCCACACTGCTTTTCTGAGTTAACTATTTTTGCTATCTTGTCTGTTATTCAAATCTTGCAAGTTATTCGTATGTAACTCCTGTTACTTTTCTTTTGGCAACCTGTCTCAAAAACCCTTTTTTTTTAGAATACCCTCTCAAAAACCCTTTTTTTTTAATTAGTTAAGTGAACTAATATTGGTGTAGCTATAAAAGCATGGCTATAGCTTGTAAATGTTTTCTTTATATATATAAAAACAAAACTGGGACATGATCATTTAAGCAAAAAACTATCTTCCCAACTACTATACTCCAAATATGCTAGGCATTTTAAAAATATGCAAAAGAGGTTGAGTGTGGTGGTGCGTGCCTGTAACTCCATCACTGAGGAGGCTGAGGCAGGAGGATCATTGCAAGTTTGAGACTAGCGTGGGCTACAAAGTGGGCTACAAGCTCAAGGCCAGCTTGAATTGCATAGAGAGACCCTGCCTCACAAAGACAAAAAAATTTAAAAATAACAATAAAATAAAATTTAAGAGACAATTTATTATTTTTAGTCATAAGCCTTAAGAAAATAAATTCTTCTTTTGAAATTTTAGATAGAAATCTTAAATGACCCAATGACCAGAGAAAAGGCAGAACCAGGAGACCAGCAGAAATAGTCAGAATCCTAATAAAACATCTCTGAAGTCTTCCTTGTTTTTTCACTTATAAAAAATAAAGTCCTTTTATTGTATAGACCAGTTTGAATATACATTTCTGACATTTGCAACCAAGTACATATTAATAGCTAATCTGTATTGAGCATCTGTGAGCCCTTCTGACTTGAAATTCCCTAAAGCAATTAAATCCCTATGCCCACAAGAGGGGGAACTATTTATACCACTGAAGCTCTAAAAGTTCATCACCACTGGCCCATAGCACTGTTGTATGTAAATGATTTAATATTATGCGTATGAATAATTAGATGAGGATCATTCATCATTCATCTGACATTACATTCAGTTATCCTTTTGTGTTTTCTGTTGTCTTATTTTGGTATCATATATTCACTGTCTTGACTGATCAAATGAAAAGCAGAATTCATTAGTAACAAGATGTGGGTAACAAAATTATAAGGACAAGGTAAGTTCTAATATTGTAAAGCAGTAATTAAAGAAAAAAGACCTTAGATTGAAAGGCTGTAGAATTCTGTCCTATAGGGAAACTGCAATGAAAAAAAATTCTGGCAAAATAGGAAATCATTAAATCCGTTTCACAAAAAGCAAATCAAGTGACTCAAAAGATGTTTCCTCCTAGCTAAAAAGTGTTATAGCACTTTGATTTCTTGAGGAAAGGCAGTATTTGGTGAACAAGAGAACACCTAAGAAATTTCACAAAGAAATGTTTTTAACTTAAAAAAACAGCCCTGAAAATATGCTTGTGAAAAATCAAAGAAGTCTTCTTAGATTTCATGATCTTCAAAAAGCTCTCTGAACTTCTTTTCATTAAATAAAGGTCAAAATTTCAAAGAGAAAAACCTTCATATATTTAAGTCTAAATGTATGCAGTTGTCCTTTTCAATACTTAAATTAACATTATAAAACATAACATTGGGTTTCTTCTGCAAGACTTTTTTATCCACAAGTTAAGACTATGATGCACATGAAACTATGCTGTGAAGATAAGATAGAAAAAGTAAAACAATTTTTAATGTATACTGAATAAGCTGACAAAAGAGGAATAGGTGATAAGCAACTCCTGGCTCTAGAAGTGACAACTGGACATGACAATATCTCATCATACTTGTCACACAGTAGTGGCATACCAGTATGACAAAGATATCAGCTAGCTAGCTCTGCATTGGGTATTGTGATTCAATAGTCTGCTTAAGAGAACATAGCAGGTATCTCTAAATTAAAGGTAAAAAGAGGCAGTTTCTAAATACTAGTAAGTTAAAATGTGTAAGAAACTTTAAAAGCCTGTGGTTTTTATGTTCTATGAACACTCTCTCACTTTAAAATGTTAATCTAAAGTGCTTTAGGATTCTCTATGAAAACTGGGTATAAACCTACGTATCAAGAACATACTGAACAATTACTATACTCCAAAAAGTAGATAACGATTTAATTTCACTTGGGATAGTTCATTCAATTATCTAATGTTTTAATTTTTTCCCCCCACATATTTTTATTGCTTTCTGTTTTCAAACAGTATCCACGTGTTTGTTTCTGATAAGCAGGTAGGAAAATGTCAGCTACACTAATAAATTTACCAGAAACCTGCATTTTCTTGAGGTTTTCTTTTGGTTTAGCTGATAACAGCATATTGCAGTTAGCTGATTTCCTAAGTAAAACTAACTGGTAAGTAACAAAGAAAAAAGAGACTTAATATATCAACAGTTCTGGTATTTTGTGCTTTTATACAAAAGACCTTAAACACCTTCCTCTTGTCACATTATAAATGAAACTTTTTATTAACAGAGTGTAAAGTAACAAACTGCACATTCACTCTTGGATGTCTTTCAATATGTTAGCAACTATCATTATGATGTCTATACTCATCTGATTCACACTATGACCTTAAGGCAAGAGTTTTATACATGTGCCTTTTAATTAAAAAAAGACTACAATAACAATTATATGCAAGTTTTAAGTGTATAATTCTAAAGTATAACGTTTAATATAACTGACTTTGAAATGGGTAAAAACTAACATGGCTAGCATAGTGGTTAGATGAATATCTGATGTAACAGAAAAAGTAAATACAGCAAAATATGAGTGGTAGAATGGGGTAGTGGATTTATGGATGTTTACAATTCTTTCAAACTCTGTATGTTTGAAAATTTTCATAATAAAATACTGGGAAGAATAAGTTATCAATACAATTGATTTCCTTTAACCCCCACTGTCTGCTAAAAACTAAGCAATGTTTCACATAGTACTTCATTTACTTATATGAAAAGATGTATGTCTCCAAAATCTTCTTACTGATTTTATCTTTTAAGAGTAAATATTACTTTAATTACAGTTTATTAGAAATGTAAAGTGAAAAGTAATAAAGATTAAGTATCCCTTTTCTGAAAAATTAAGACCAGAAGTGCTTTGAAATTCAGAAAATTTGTGTATTTTGGAATACTTGCAAAACACACTAGACACGACATGAAACTCAAATCTAAACAAGATGTTTATGTTTTGTGTACTCATTCACATAGGCTGAAAGTAATTTTATACAATATTATTAGTTCATCTGCATTTGACTGTAGCCTGTCACGTAAGGTCAGGTGGTGAATTTTTCAGCTGACTTGTAGGGTTGTTACATTTTAAAAATTTTGTATTTTGGATTTTTCAGATCAGAGATGCTCAATATATATCAGAATATCCAAAACACAAAGCCATACCCTA